AACAGCCATTTTTCCGTCGGCTTCGTCTTTACCGAGTCTATCTCCATACGGTCCCTTATCAGTAAGTTCCTCTTCATCAGGTCAGAGACAGCAGTAAATGGATTTTTGAACTCTCCAGCATTGATTTCAGGTCTTTAAGTACCAGGATGCCTGTGTTTATTGGTGTGTGAGTATTTTGCGGGGGAGTGTGTGATCGACCCCGTTTTGAGACGCTAACAGGTATTGCAGTGAATGTCCCGGCCTGGGACTGTGGCTTAGATTGAGCTATTGTTTGGCTTGGCTTTCGATAAGCAAGAGCTTTGAATCCGACTTACTGTGATTGCTTCTCAGCTGTTGTGTTTCGTCAATAGTTTTGTTTGCGCTTAATCATTGCCGGTCCTGTTTTGGTTTGCCTTCTTTTCCGTCGCTTTCCACCAAAAAAAAAAGATCCGTTTGAGAGGAAAGCCGCGCTTTGAGGTCAGCCAAACCAAGTGATTATATCTAGATTCGGAGGATATTAACCAGATAAACTTATATTAGGAACAGGTTCTACCGTATCAAAGATTATCAAAAAATATGTGGTCCTGGCCACATTTTCAAAAAATAAACTTGCGCTTTGTGGGCATGACAAGAATGTACATGTTAGGACCTGAACGTTCATATGGACAGACAGACGGACAGACAGACATACAGACAGACAGACAGACAGACAGACAGAAAGACAGACAGACGGACATGGCTAGATCGTCTCGCCTAGCGATGCTGATCAAGAATATATATACTTCATGGGGTCGGAGATGTCCCCTTCACTGCGTTGCAAGCTTCTGACTGAAATTATAATACTCTGCAGGGTTTACAAATTATAACTTTGCTGTTATATATATTTTTTTTTAGTTCTTCAACATATAGTAATAGTTAAATAGTTCAGAATTACGGTTTAAATTTCATTAAAATCGGACGACTTTATCATTTAGCTCCCATGGAAACAATAAAACACAAATAAATCATAATTTTAAAGTATATAAACTTCGGCTTGCCGAAGTTTGCTTTCTTTCTTATTAATAATTATCTAAGGGCTCGAGCCTGCGCTTCCTGCTAAAGCCGGATGCGGCTAACTGCTCACGCATAAGGCGCGAGAGAAGTTGTATATGCATACATCGGTTGCCAATCCGGTCAGGCCATATTCTGACACATATCCGTTAATCACTTGGCCGGGAGCAATGTATTATAGCCGTAAACTCTAATCTATCTACTATATCCATATAGTATAATAATACGAGTCGTTGAGACCAGGTGCAGTATTCTACCTCTTCAATAATTTCTAGTGTAGTCATTTTAAAGTATAAATTAGTATGATTTTAGGTTTTCTTTATTTCTAATACATTTTCTTTGTATGTATAGATAATAATACATAAACTTTTTGTTATTACTGTTAATAATAATCTTGTTTTTTTTATAAAATTCAGATCTGTTCTTGCATGGCTAAGACATCTCTTTTTAATAAATTTGTTGTGAAATTTAAATATTTTAAAAAATGAATTTCGATATAAAATTATAGCGATTATTATTAAAAGTATACGAATTAATAGTATAGTAGTGTCCTTATCAACTTTCTATGATTCTACTTAATTTATAACATTTGCTGTAGAACCGACAGTTTTTTTATATATAAAACCCCTGTTGGAAACATTTTCCAATTCTTGTCTTACTTATTCTATTATTCCTCAGTCATAAATAAAATAATATATTTTTTTAATTTTTGCTTGAAAATTTTTTTTTTAACTTTGGGGGAAATCTAACAAAAATTTTGATTTACAGTTTTCCTGTCTATCGTTTCGCAAAGCTTTACGGGCTAAACTTCTATTATGAAGGGAGGGTTCCGCTAAATTTTACATATTTTTCTTATATATATATATGGACTGTTTCACACAGAGGAGGTGGTGTGTTTTTATACGGAAGGCAATTTATGAGAGCTACTCTTTTCTTGATCTTATGGTCGGCACCTCTACATCTACCCATCACTCCACTCTACTTACTTAGACTTTTTATACCCTTTATTTGTAGATTAAAAGGGTGTATTATATTCGTTGAAAATTATGTACCAGGTAGGAGGAAGCGTTTCCGACTACATAAAGTACACATATTCTTGATCAACAGCCGAGTCGGCCTAGCCATGTCTGTTTGTGCGTCTGTATGAACGTCGAGATCTCGGCATACCGATTCCAGTAGTTCCCAGGCAGAGCCAGTTTATTGCAAAACGGAGCCACTCCCACTCTAAGACCTACAAATCGTGAATTATGTACTGTCACTCTGAGACATGTGAGGCCGTAGGTGGACTCTGTGTGTGTGTCTAACAATATACACAAAAATGTTTAAAATCGAGTTAATATTTTAGATGATATATTTTTATGAAGTCCCCTGACATTACACGGCCGTTGCTCTGCCGGTAATCGCTGCAATAGAAAGACATTATGAAACAACTGTTAGGGGAAGTGGGGGCGCAGCACGCTCTTAGCTTATAGTGTTGTCTATGCAGTTCGGCAGATGGCGCCAACTAAACTTCAATTGTTTTGTAGGGGTAATAATTAGTTTGAAGTTTGTTGGCTGAGTATGCGGTATCTAATTGTCGGGAAATTCGACTATAGCGTTCTCTCTTGTTTTCTTTTTAATTGTGTAATCCCTGTGCGTTATTATTGTAATTTCATACTCTTGCGCATGCTTTGCCAGTGCTTCTAGTCGTTGATCTTGTAACATTTGATTTTTTAAATGTTACTTTTCTATTTTGTAATTTTCCTTTTTCAATTCTTTTTGTCTTATTATTAATTTGACAGTTCAGAATTACTCTTTTAATTTTATTGAAATCGGAAAACGTATAATATATAGCTGCCATAGGAACCAACGAATAATTAAGCTGCAAATCACCTTAGCTTCAATGTTTTTAAACATATACGCAAGTAAATCATAAATTTAATGTTTTCAAGAATATTTAGTTTTTGCAATAGCTGCAAGGGTATATAAACTTCAGCTTGCCGAAATTTGCTTCCTTTCTTGTTTTTTATTTATTTTTTCGATTGTTCCTATGGGAGCTATATGCTATAGTCGTCCGATTTTGATGAAATTCAAACCGTAACTCTGAAATATTTAACCATTTTTATATGTCGAAGAATTAAAAAAAATATTAAAAAACAGAAAAGTTATAATTTTTTTTATTTATTTTTCCGATTGTTCCCATGGAAGCTATATGATATAGTCGTCCGATTTTGATGAAATTTAAATCATAATTCTAAAATATTGACCAATTACTATATGTCGAAGAACTACAAAAAATAAAAAAAAAAACAGCAAAGTTATAATTTTTTTAAATTTATTTTTTCGATTGTTCCTATGGGAGCTATAAGCTATAGTCGTTCGATCCGGCTGCAATAGAAAGAAAACTTTTGGGAAAGTTTCATGCAGATTGCTTTAAAACTGAGAGACTAGTTTGCGTAGAAACCGACGGACAGACGGACAGACAAACGGACATGGCTAGACCGACTTGGATAGTCTTCGAGTAACGGGTATAAACATTATTTAATATGACACAGAATAATGGATAACAAAGCGATAGCAAACAGTCGTCCGCACAAACATGCAAAACTATTAAAAAGCATTTCTTTTGTATTTTTAAAAACCGGTTCATCACTTACAAATTTTTGGAAATAGAGGTAAACAAGGGCACCGAAACAATCTCCACGATGCGTGCAATTGCGTGTTTTATATAATTTATATTATCGCGCCTCCGTTTGTTGCCTTGGAATCCAGTCATTGCAGCGAATTATTTTTTATCAGATAATTGATTATAGTGATATATAATGATTTAGAAACTACACTGGAAAGCTCTGGAAAACATTGATCTCGTTCTCACCGAAGTGAGTGTGCGACGAACGGCGAATAGGCATAATTGGAATGCACTGAAAAGTCTCAATCAGGCAATGTCGTTCTCTATGGTTTCGATGCAATGCATAATTAAACTGACTATTTTTGATGCTGATAATAAGAGGACAATATAAGTTTACAGCGACCTAAATAAACAAAGCGGCTAGTTTAGAAGATGTATTTGTTTGTCCCACCAAATTTATATTATATCTGATCACCCGATTGACCAGAAAAATGGCCATAAAATTGGGATCGGCCTATCGGCCTATTTTTAATAATGACAATGCATATATAGTTGCTCTGGGTTCCTTTTGCTGCCTTTGGCTTGGCAGTCTATTAGGCATTTTTAACTCTGCCGGGGACACGCCGAGCAATGCCTCTGATATATTAAATATATATATACACTGGTAAAAAAATGGAATAGTAAAAATAAATATGCGCATATTGAATTGTAAAATGCGTATTTCATATTTAAAGTAAATATAAAAATATTAAAATTAAATACAAAACGTATTAAATTCCATAATTTAATATAAAAATATTTAAATCAATGCGGTAAATATTGAGTTTAAATTTTGGGCAATTTGTTTTAAATTTTATCATATTAAAATTGAAAATTTTCAGACTGAAAAAAAACATAGTCAAATTAAGAATGTGTCATATTTAATTATAGTACGAAAACTGAAAATTATTTTGAGTTTTTAATGATTTTTACAATAAACAAAACATTATTACAGTTGATATTGTCAATTAAATTTCAATAGCTCAATCTTAGCGAAATATATTTAATAAATATGGTACTTAATATTTTTAAATTTAAATCTAATATTATTTGTATTAATATCTATGTTTAAAGTATTATATTGAAATTGCTCAATATTTAAATTTAATATTATTCGTTATACATAACAAATTAAATTTAAATATTGTTTTTGTTACTTTAAATATTATTCCTATTTAATTTAAAGTTGTAGTCGAGGCCCGCATTTTATATTTAAAAATAAATACAAAAATTATATTTTAATTTTTTGTTTTGTTCCATTAATTTAGACGAAACTCTTAAATTTATTACGTTCGTAACTAAATTAAAATAATGTTAAATAAATGGAACAAAAGTCATAATTATACATACATACATACATATGTGTATAACAAATTCTAAATGCGCATTTTTAGCGGTCTTTTTTCTCCGTTATTCGCTGTTTCTTTGAAACGGATTCACACACACATATGTACATATGTGTGACCAGATCACTTCTCTTCGTATTCAGCATTGCACGGCGCGTGCCATCATTTCTAAGTCGCAGTTGTTGTGTCGTGTAGTGAAAATTAAAGTTTAATTGCTGATGCCGCGATCTCATCAGAAACACAAATCAAAGATAGTGAAGTGCTAAAATAATTAATCTGGATCGCGATTCTTACACGTTATTGGGTGAATAATTCTGCAATAAATTTGTTTTAGGCTTTATACCCACGCTTGATATATATATGTATGTACATGTGTTGGTATGCATGTACATATATATGTATGTGCAGCGTTCGTTTACCGCTTAATTGGCGTTAGATTTAGTTTGGAAGCCACTAGAAACGGTTAACGGACTCTGCACATACATGCATATATTTGTATGTAAGTGTGTGAGAATATTTAAAAACAAATATCTTCTAGAGTTATTCACATACATATTAACTGTGTATTTTACCGCGATCTAGTTTAACATAATTAACCCTCAAGATAAAGATCACGCCAAGATTAATTTTAAGCTTCGGAAGCATAACTATTTGGTAAGTACCGATCTAACAATAAAAATATAAATGTGGTAATGTTATGTACATACATACGCACGCTGTGTAAACATGTTTCTACATATGCATGTATGTATGTGCAGCGTTTTAGTTACCGCCCAAAAAAATTAACAAAAAAAAAGCGAATACTTGATTTGATTTTTTAAAATATTACAAAGTAATATTAATATTTTAAAAAATAAAATCAATCAAATGGATAATAATAACAATAAATTAGCATAAAACAATCCCTGGTGATACCGTAATATGACTTGGAAAAACCCAAGTTAAGAAAAAAAATCTAATTTCAGATACAAATCGATTTTAATTTAATGTTCCCTGGAAAGGAAAGGCGCATTAGCTTCAAAATGGGAAGCGTTTAAGAAGGAAATACAACAGTACTATGCGTATAATATCCACAACGTGAACAGAAGGAAGCTGTTTATGAATTCCAAGAATTCAGAGACTATTGGTAAATTACATTATGAAATATATTGTTTTATTTTTTAATTAAAATTCTTATTTTTGTCTTTCTTTTATTTCTTTTTCATCAGACTTTATTTTGACTAACCTGCTCCCCTCAATTTTACCGCCCAATACATGGTACTCTTCAAAAGCATCAAAAACCAGAACTCCCTGGAAAGTCTAGTCCTTCAAGTGAACTCCATTGCCGACTATCGCCAAAGGATTGCAGAATCTGTCGGTAAAAACTATTCGAATTTAAAAACAGTTCAACCGTGTATGTTTGTAAAAAGCCACAAAGCAAATACGTTCTTTGATAAACTATATAGGCCGTACTGTATATAAATTTTGCTTAAATAAAATGATTACAAAAAAAAAATGTACAATGTTTTTCTTATGTTAATAAACGGTTTTGAATAATTTAAATGAATATACCCTGCATTTGATTTAAATATAATAAATATTTATATTTAAAACGCTAAATAATACATGTTATATAATTCATATTTAAACTAAATACTTTAATATTTAAATTCAGTGAAATTGTTATTAAAATTAAATATGAATTGCACTGTATTTAAGTTTGGAATATTTAATTTATAGATGTTAACATTAAATACGATTATAAATCAAATTAAATATTTTAATATTTAAAACAAAGATGCACCGTATTTAACTTAAATTTATTTCATATTAATTTAAATACGGTTTATACTTAAATTAAATATTTTAATATTTAAAACAAACATGTTTCATTATTGCTTCAAATACGATTTCTAGTTAAATTAAATGTTTTAATATTTAAAACAAATACGCATCGTGTTTAATTTAACTATGAATTATGTTTAACTTAAATATGGACCAAATTTAAATTAAATATTAAAAATATTGAAAATTACTCTGTAAGTATTTAAATTAAATTCGAAAATCAAATTAATATGGTGCATATTTAAAGTAAATATAAACGGATTTGGATGAAAATCAAAGCGAAAAATATTTAAATTGAATACAAAATATTTAAATTTACTACTTTTTTTTTACCAGTGTATAAGAGGTTCTTCCTTTTAGGTCATAATTTCGTAACATTTTGCCTTTTTTTTTCCAAAATTTTGACAATTGATTTTTTAATGTTTACATCGTAAAATTATGCAAACAGTTCTTACTTAGCAGCAATTAAATAGACTTTTTGACTTGGTGTGCTCGTTGCAGGAATACACAATACTTTTTGTGCCAGCTTTGATAGTAAAACCATTGCAGCTGCCTTTATCCTTCCAAAAAGTTAATACGTCATGGCATGACCCTCGGCTTGCCGAAGTTTGCTCCCTTTCTTGATTTTTATACCCTTGCAGAGGGTATTATAATTTCAGTCAGAAGTTTGCAACGCAGTGAAGGAGACGTTTCCGACCCTATAAAGTATATATATTCTTGATCAGCATCACTAGTAGAGTCGATCTAGCCATGTCCGTCTGTCCGTCCGTCTGTCCGTCTGTCCGTCCGTCTGTCCGTCCGTTTATATGCAAACTAGTCTCTCAGTTTTAAAGCTATCTGCATGAAACTTTCCCAAAAGTTGTCTTTCTATTGCAGGTAGTATATAAGTCGGAACGAGCCGGATCGGACGACTATATCATATAGCTCCCATAGGAACAATCGGAAAAATAATTGAAAAATTATAATTTTGCTGTTTTTTTAATTTTTTTGTTAAGTTCTTCGACATATAGCAATGGTTAAATATTTCAGAATTATGGTTTAAATTTCATCAAAATCGGACGACTATAGCATATAGCTCCCATAGGAACAATCGGAAAAATAATTGAAAAAAAATTATAACTTTGCTGTTTTTTAATATTTTGTTTTGTTCTTCGATATAAAGCAATGGTTAAATATTTCAGAATTATGGTTAAAATTTCATCAAAATCGGACGACTATAGCATATAGCTCCCATAGGAACAATCGGAAAAATAATTGAAAAAAAATTGTAACTTTGCTGTTTTTTAATTTTTTGTTTAGTTCTTCGACATATAGCAATGGTTAAATATTTCAGAATTATGGTTAAAATTTCATCAAAATCGGACGACTATATCATATAGCTCCCATACAAATAATAAAAATATATAAAAGAACAATCAAATAATTAAGCTGCAAATCGTCATAGCTTCAATGTTTTTAAACATATACGCAAGTAAATCATAATTTTAATGTTTTCAAAAATATTTAATTCTTGCGATAGCTGCAAGGGTATATGAACTTCGGCTTGCCGAAGTTTGCTTTCTTTCTTGTTTTCATTTATTTTTCCGATTGTTCTTTTGGGAGCTATATGCTATAGTCGTCCGATTCGGCTTGTAATATAAAGACTACTTTTGGCAAAGTTTTATGCAGATAGCTTTAAAACTGAGAGACTAGTTTGCGTAGAAAAAGAAAGAAAGAATTTATATAATATCTAAAAGGGTAACGAACCCGGATATATTCACACAAGCCGGAAACAAACCAGCATTCGACTGTTTGGGTCTTCCAAGATGACCCAAATCTAACAAAAGTTGTTCGCTCGCGAAGCACATCGAAGCAAATGGTCGCCTGTTTTTTTTTTTTGGTTGGTATTAATGGGCATGTGTTTACAGTGGAATTTGAGAAACGTAAAGCAGTTAATTATGGTTGCTCTACAACAAAGGCATTTTTGAACGACTCAAACTTTGAATTGATGGGCCATCCGGCGTAAGTCCTTACTTGGCTCCCAATGACACATTGTTGTTTCGTAACATCAAGAAAAAATTACGCGGTCAACGTTTTTCGACGCCAGAAGAAGCGGTTGATGCTTTCAAAATGCATGTTTTGAAGGGGTCTCATTTGGAAAAAATTCTACGAATTTGGTTAGATCGAATGAAGAAGTGTTTTAATCATAAAGGAAAATATTTTGAAAAACTATAAAACCATTTTCAGACGCCTAACTTGGGTTTTTCATTGGCAAGATACTTAAATAAATCTTTCGACGCCAGTGGCGACGAAAACTGGTCGATTTTTAAAGAAAAATTGGAAATTGGTCCTAAAATCCTTTAAACTTTGTTAAACACCTTGACATAAAAAAATGATTCTTTTACGACTTTTTGTTAAAACCCGCTAGTTAACCTTTACCTGCTAGATTAAAGGCAAACAGTTTCTAAACGTTTACAGTTTTGGGTAAAGGTACAGATAGTGCTATATATCTTAAAAAAGATTTTTTAAAGGCTCTTAGCTTACTCCTGGCAATTGGACGGTTCCATTCTGTTTGTGGGGTTGAAGCTTTTAGATTGGGTAAATTTCATATTTTTTCAGGCACCAGCTCCACCTTGAACGTTGGCTGGGGAATTTTATTTCTATTTATTTTGTTCAGAGGCATTTCGACATCAAAACTTTTTTCGTAAAGTCCAGCTATTATCTTATTGATAGGGACTGTTGGTTCGATTCTGTTCATAACCACTTTGCCACTTATAAATTGGTAGGTGTAGTAATATTATAATTTCGATGTCGAGGTATTTGGCCATAATCTTATTCGTTGTTCACTTGTTTTTTTGTTTCATTTATGTTACCCTTTCTTATAAACGTGACATAGAATTTGTTGAACTCCAATTTGATCAGTTATTTTTGTAACCAATTCGGCACAGTTAGCAATTCCGACATAAATAAGCGGCGGGCTTAGGTGTCTGGGCAGTATCTGGCACAGTAATTATAGCAGTTTTGTTTACTTGGGATGTATAAAGTTTCCTCTTTAATTTTGGGCTTAATTCTCCATTGCTCGCTCGCTTGCACTATTCCATTTTCCGTTGTTTTAATTCCGCTCGTATAGAGAAGTAAGTGTTGTTTCTGGTTGATACGAGCCGACGCACTATGGAGCAAACGACTATTTTTTGTGGCATTAATTAATAACTGAAAAACAAATAAATTTTCTCGGGTTTTGTTTTTTTAAATTAAGTCTATGATACGAAAGCAAGGTTTAAAAAAATGGGCTGAGCTACGCCCTTTTTTAAGGTTTTTTTTTTGCTAAATACTAAAATAAATACTTTTTTTTGTATTTAGAAGATTATATTAAAAAAATACAAGTTTAAAAAAAAAAATGGGCGTGGACTTACATTATTATTAGGATTTCACAGTTTATTTTCTATTGGGAGAAGTTATTTTCAAAGTAAACGCAGTAACGCAGTAATTGTATTGACAAAAGTTTTAAGAAATCTATAATTTCGTTTTAATTAATTCGGGACATAAAGCTAACATTTTCAAAATATAGGCAAGGTCTGGCTGAGCGCGCTTTCGAGCAGCTGCAGTTGCAGCTTGAATTAGTAATCTAACACTGCCCGCCTGCAGCGTTGCTAGATCTGTCGCTTCGTTTCTGTACTTCTATATTTTTTCGATAGAAAGGACAATATAGGCCGTTCAACGGCTCTAAATGTTTTATTTATTCTAACATTTCAATGCGAGCTCTATTTAAAAATAAAAAATCACTAACAGCTTTTAGTTTTTTTGGGCTTGTAACTTACACAAGATTACAAAACACTTCTATCAATATCTACAATTCTCGTTTAAAAACACATATTACAAACCGCTATTGTTGGGCTGCATGCCAAAAAATTGCACTTGAATTGGTTTCTTGAACTCTTTTTATACCCTTGCAAAGGGTATTATAATTTCAGTCACAAGTTTGCAACGCAATAAAGGAGACATCTCCGACCCTATAAAGTATATATATTCTTGATCAGCATCACTAGCCGAGTCGATCTAGCCATGTCCGTCTGTCCGTCCATTGGAACTATCGAATAATAAAGCTACAAATCATCATAGCTTCAATGTTTTTCAACATATACGCAAGTAAATCATAATTTTAATGTTTTCAAAAGTATTTAATTCTTGCAATAGCTGCAAGGGTATATGAACTTTGGCTTGCCGAAGTTTGCTTTCTTTCTTGTTTTGTAATAAATTTGGAAGAAAAGTTTACGAATAAACAGCACTCGCTTCCAGTTGCACCAGCAGCTGACTTTTACAGCTGGAAGCTTAACAATAATGTGCTCTGTTAAAATGTTGTATTTGCAACATATTAGTGTTGTTCCTATCCATCGCGACTTAAAAAACAAAATATTTAACGACTTTTAAAAAATTGGTTTTGGCCAAAAAATGTGGTCTGTAGCCCCATAGTGCGATGTTTGTACGTTTGTCTTGCGATTTGTTTACTAATTTTTTCGGTGAAAAACTATAAAAATTACCAACAAAAACACAAAAGCAATATGTTCGTGTCGGTTCGGCCAAAAACTTAAATTCACCAAAATTTCGTGGCTGGAAATTTTCTGCCGTTCCTTGGTTGTTGCACAAAACATTTCTTCCGCCGCTGCAAATTTAATTGCTTAATTTGCTGCTGCCGCCAAATGGATGTAAAAAAGGAAGTTGCAATTATCAAGTCCGTGGTTGGTTAGGTAGAGAGTGCTAAAAGTTGAAAGTTA